TTGCAAAGAAAATCTTCAAACAGAAGAAAAAGAAGAATTGGATTGAATTTTGCGAAAGTCTAAACTCAAGAACACCAATAAAAGATGTCTGGCGAAAAGTTAATTGTTTTAAAAACCGCAAACAAGCCAACAAAGTTCCCATTGATCCAGAAGATAGATGGTTGCAGGAATTCCATAGAAAAATTGCCCCTGCATGGGTTCCAAATGACGACACTGAACAAGAATATATCCAAACGGTACCCAGACAAAATCACAATTTTGACGAAAATTTTCATTTATGGGAATTGCATCGAGCCCTTGAACAAAGAAATAATACTTCTCCAGGTATTGACAATGTGTCATACTCACTGTTATACAACTTACCTATAGAATATAAAAATTCACTAGTACACATTTTCAACAATATTTGGACAAATAAGACACCAGTACCGAATAGTTGGAAAGAGTACCTGATAATTCCGATTAAAAAACCTGGCAGACGAGAACGTGATCCAAGTTCTTACCGACCTATCTCCTTATCTTCATGTCTTTTAAAAACATTTGAGAGAATAATTAAAAATAGATTTGAACATTGGCTAGAACACGATGGTATACTTCCAAGTTCCCAATATGGTTTTCGCAAGTCTAGGTCCACTCAAGATGCAACTACAGCTCTAGTTACTTCAATTCAGCTTAATTTTACGTCAAATAAGTCTACAGCAGCTGCGTTCCTTGACATTTCTGCTGCTTTTGATAATGTCAATTTAGACATTCTTTACTGAAAAATGTTGTATATTGGAATCCCTAGATCATTTGCCCTCTTTTTAAAATCTTTATATTCTAACAGACTAACTTTTTTAAAAATTAATAATGAGGAATTTTCATACCCCCGACTAACCAATATTGGATTGCCACAGGGGAGTATTTTAAGCCCGATTTTATATATCCTGTACAACATAGATCTTGAAGTTAGTATACCCAACCATACAAAAATTCTACAATATGCTGATGATGTTGTTTTATATACAGCAGGAAAATTGTTAAGTACCTGTGAGGATAATTTGAAAGCCACATTAGAAATCGTAAATCAGTACTATGAAGAAATAGGATTATCAATTTCTGACACAAAAACTGAGGTGTGTTACTTTTCACAAAAACATAGAGTTCCACAAGGCAATCTTAATGTGGGAAAATTTAATTTTCCTATAAAAAACTGTATTAAGTATCTTGGTACCTATCTAGACAGAAAATTATTATGGAAAGATCACATTCATCAAATTGTTAAAAAATCAGAAAGCTCATTAAACATTTTAAGAGCTTTCTGTAAAACAAATTGGGGAGCAGACCCAAATATTGCTTTGATGTTTTACCGTAACATGATCAGGCCAATTTTCGACTATAACTGTCATTTATTTGGATCAGCGACCAATACACATCTAAACAAACTTGAAGTTCAAAAAAATAAATGCCTGAGATTATGCCTAGGTTATTTAAAATCCACTCCAGTCCAAATAATGGAAATTGAAGCGGTGGAACCTCCATTGCATTTACGCCGCCAATTCCTTAGCGACAAATTTACAGTCCGAATTATATCCAAAAATTGTAAATACCTGCAAGATCTTAATGAGCTATCAGTTTTAGACCTCACTCATAGATATTGGAGAACTAAAAAATCTATACCTTTGGTAGAAAGCTATCTAAGTACGATTAAATATAACGATATTCTCTATAAAAGCCAAATTCCGCCCTACTACGGTGAAATGGCAAAAACACTATTTTCTAAAAAGGTTAAAATATGTTACTTAAACTCACATTTACTCCCAAATATGTTTGATATAATTATTAAAGAAAAATGGACAAACTATCAGTACATTTTTACTGATGGGTCAAAAGATGCAAATGGAACGGGCTGTGCAATGTTCCACGAAAATAAAAATTACCATCACCAGTATAGCTTACCCAGTGAATGCTCAATATACACAGCAGAAATGATGGCAATAATGTTTGCTCTTCAGTATGTAGTACTGAAGCCGTCTAGCAACTATGTTATATTTACTGACAGTAAAAGTGTGGTCGACAGATTCAACAACATTCAAACAGCCAAACATATAAACCACATTGAACTGAAAATTCTAAAAATTCTTTCTGAAACTATACAATTAGGACTAAATGTAATAATTACATGGATCAAGGGCCATTCAGGAATAAAAGGCAATGAGATCGTTGACAATTTAGCTAAATCAGCATATATGCTTGGAGAAAAAGTAAACAAAAATTTAATTCCAGCGACAGATATTGACACCGTTAGCAGACAAAAAGTTAAAAATAATTGGCATTTACATTACAGAGAATGTAAGACGGGCTTAAACTTTTATCATTGTAACACTAGGATACCCTCAAAAAGATGGTTTTACACAGAATCTAATCGACATTTTATAAAGACCATTAATCGGCTGAGAGCAAATCATGCTCTTACGCCATCTTACATGAATGGAATCGGCTTATCAAATACTCCCAATTG